GTATGTTTCCCTTAGTATTTTAATAAAATTCCACATTTGAGTCGAAATACCACTATAAATTGTGAATTTATATCTAAAATACACGCAGTTGTTTTTGTTGACAACTGTTTCAATGCTATAAGAAGTTGAGGAGAGACGTTAAGTTTCAATAGGGACTTAATGTCCAATGAAAAAGAAGATTGCTTCCACGTGTGCACCTTCTTCCTCTTCTTAAGGTTTACGTGACAAGTGGAATTTTTTACCTGCACGCTAACTCCGAATTACCCATTAATGAGTAAAATTTTACCCATTTTGAAGTGGCTTAACTCATGAAATGAGTAAAACCGACTTTACACATTAATGAGTATTTGATCACTAAGGCAAAAGAACCACTTATGAATTTTAGCCACAAGAAATCGGTATGAATTTTATTGATTTGCATTATGAAAAATAATGTCGACAAAAAAAATAAAATGGAGCGGACTGGAACCGAACCATGGACGTTTAGATTACGAGTTGTGTGACTGGACCACTCATCTGTCAACGCTTGGAAAAATGAAATTGCAAAAGGCGTATAAGAGCTACCTCATGTTAGAGGAAAATCTTTCATAACTCGCACTTATGAAATTCATATGTGTTCTTCATAAGTCTAGCCTTATGAAATTCTTAAGTCTATTTGCCTCAGTGATGAATACGCCAGAAAATGGGTATTTTTTATCTATTTTACTATTTCTGTACATGAGTAAAAAGTACCCATTTTATTGATTTGATTTCTGCTTCATGGGGGAGCCTGTCATCAAACCAATTGAAATCCTTAAACAATGAAATCAAAACAATTAATACACTTTATTGCACGTAAGCAAATACTGTATGCGTGATAATGTTTGCACCATCGTACAAATAAGGTTCCCATTTCACCTGTGCATACAATGCCTTGGTTTTCTTTGCATGCACGTAACCTATGGCTCATACCGAAGTAGGCTGTGTATAAAAGAAAATGATTTACTTAGTTTGACAGTTGCACCATGACGAAGTGGCAGCGTATTCGTGATTTGTCCCACGCGCAAATGTCGCAAAAAGACATTTCAATCACCATGGGAGTGTCCCGGTGGACCGTCAAAAGGGTTTTAGACCGAGAAAAGAAAGGACAACTATCTGCGAAGGTAGCCACAGGTCGTCCGAGGTCAGCTCCGGTTCCGAGGGTTATCGCTGCTATCAAAAGGAAGATTCGGGTGAATCCAGTGCGTTCACTAAGGAAAATGTCAAAGGAACACGGGATCAGTGACTTTACGGCACGGAAGATCGTAAAGGAAGATTGCGGGGCGAAGTCGAGGGCACGGAAAAAACTCACATGATTACCAACCGCATCCGGGAGCTAAGAGTCGATGCAAGAGACGATGCAAGAAACTCTTGAACTTCCGGGAGCTACGAGTCGAACGATGCAAAAAAAATCTTGAACTTCCTTAAGCGAAAAAAGTCCGGTAATCCTGTTCACTGACGAGAGCATGGTTACCGTCGATCCCGTATCAAATTCCAGAACCTACCGGTATATTAGTTCTTTTCCGGTAAAATACGTGGCCAACGAGCACAAGAACGTGTATCTGACCAAGCATCCTGCTAGCGTTATGGTGTTTAGATTGGTGGCTTCCGATGGCAAAAAAATGGACCCAGTGTTCATTCCAGAAGGCGACAAGGTCAACACGGAGGTCTACATCGGGATTTTATGTAAGTATGGTCTTCCGTGGATCAAATAACAGTACGGTCCGAAGCCAAATATTGTATTCCAACAAGATGGGGCTCCGTGCCACACCTCGAACCGCACTCAGAAGTGGTTGCAGGAACATCTTCCGTTCTGGGCGAAGGATATGTGGCCGCCGTCCAGCCCCGATCTTAATCCGCTGGATTACTCAATATGGCGCGTCATGAAGGTCAAGGCCTGTTATATACACCACCCGAGTACAGCAAGCCTCAGACAAACATTGACCCATACCTGGAGAGAAATGGATCCAGACTACATTATTAGAACCTGCCGTGCATTCCGGAAGCGTCCGAAAGCGCAATTGCAGCAAGTGGAAACTCGATCGATGATTAACATAGTTTAAGACTCTGAGAAACATCCCCCCTTTGAATAAATAAAAAAACTCGAAAACGAAATTTTTGAGATTTTTTTTAATTTTGACATATTATAATCGTTTTTTTTTTTTTTTTTTATTAACTCTTTATTTGTTCCAAATTCAAAATAAATTACATTTCATTTTAACCTAGGTGCTCCAGTTACTGCAGTAACGTACCAGCCTTAATTGTTATGATATATATCTAAGTGTTTTTACATTGTTCATGTCTTGGCAATTCAGTATTTTAAACAGGTTTTTTAACCTGCATGTCAGTATAACAATTGATATCTTAAAACTAAAAACTAAAACTAAATCTTATCTAAGTATAAAGGGAATTAATCGTTGCAATTGAGGATTGCAACGATTTTTGCCTGAAATTATTAATTATTTTGTTGGACATTTGTGCTAAAGTCTCAACATTCGAAATTCTATGTACTTCGGTTGTACTGTACCAGGGAGGCAACTTCAAAATCATTTTCAGAATTTTGTTCTGAATCCTTGGAAGTGCTTTTTTCCTGGTAGTGCAACAACTAGACCATATTGGCACAGCATAAAGCATGGCTGGTCTAAAAACTTGTGTAAATATTAGAAGTTTATTCTTCAGGCAAAGTTTAGACTTCCTGTTTATAAGAGGATACAAACATTTTATATATTTGTTACATTTGGCTTGAATGCCCTCAATATGATCTTTAAAAGTTAATTTTTGGTCAAGTACAAGTCCAATATATTTCACTTGGTTTGACCAGTAAATTAGAACTCCGTTCATAGTGACTATGTGACTACTATTAGGTTTCAAAAATAAAGCTCTAGGCTTATGTGGGAATATTATAAGTTGAGTTTTGGAAGCGTTGGGAGAAATCTTCCATTTTTGTAAATAAGAAGAGAAAATATCTAAACTTTTCTGCAGTCTGCTGCAAATAACACGGAGACTTCTTCCTTTAGCGGAAATGCCTGTGTCATCAGCGAACAAAGATTTGTGGCAACCCTGAGGCAAATCAGGGAGATCCGAAGTGAAAATGTTATACAATATAGGCCCAAGAATGCTACCCTGAGGAACTCCTGCTCTAACAGGTAGTCGATTAGATTTGGAATTTTGATAATTTACCTGCAGAGTTCTGTCAGTTAAATAATTTTGAACTAATTTCATAATATAAAGTGGAAAATTAAACTTTTTCAATTTAGCAATCAAACCTTCATGCCAAACACTGTCGAATGCTTTTTCTATGTCTAGAAGAGCAACTCCAGTTGAGTGGCCTTCAGATTTGTTTGAACGAATTAAATTGTTAACTCTTAAGAGTTGATGAGTAGTTGAATGCCCATGGCGAAATCCAAACTGCTCATCTGCAAAAATTGAGTTCGTATTGATGTGAAGCATCATTCTATTCAAAATTATCTTTTCAAAAAGTTTACTTATTGAAGAAAGCAAACTTATTGGGCGGTAGCTAGAAGCTTCAGCTGGATTTTTATCTGGCTTCAAAATTGGAACAACTTTTGCATTTTTCCATTTATCAGGAAAGTATGCCAAATGGAAACATCTGTTAAATAATTTTACCAAGAAAGACAAGGTACTCTCTGGGAGTTTTTTGATGAGGATATAGAAAATTCCATCATCACCTGGAGCTTTCATATTTTGAAAATTTTTAGTTATAGACCTTACTTCGTCCAAATCAGTCCCCCAGGAATCATCAAAAATATATTCCCGAGAGAAAATATTCAGAAAATCCCGAGCAACCTGATTCTCAATAGGACTAGTAAGACCCAAACTGAAATTATGGGAACTCTCGAATTGCTTAGCAAGTTTCTGAGCTTTTTCCAAATTTGTGATCAAAATTTTACCACCTTCTTTAAGCGCTGGAATAGGCTTTTGAGGTTTTTTCAAAATTTTTGTGAGTTTCCAAAAGGGTTTGGTAAGGGTTTCATTTACTTTTTCGAAGATCTTCACTAACCTGAAACGGAACATGTTTTTAGAATGGCTTAATGTTCTTCCTAGTTGCACTTTTTATCCTTACCTCGAAACAGTCGGTACCAGATCGTGACCAGGAATCCTGCTTTCCCTGAAAGTAAAAAAAAATAACTCCCAGCTGCAGAATTATTTTCAAATTAACTTGTTTACCTCAATCAACACCTGCTGGAACGAATCTGTTAATTCGAATCGATTGTTTTTACCGATTTGCAGGCACGCAAAATTCACGAATGTGTGAACATCAACATAGCTGTTTTGACATTAATTGAATGCATATTTTTATCCATTTTAATTGCAGGGGATATTTTCAAAAATAGGGATTTTTTGATTTTTGAAAATATCCATTTTTAGGTTAGCGTGTAGGGTAGAGATCGGCTACAGCCCCGAGAAAAAATTTCATGCACGGGGTTTTTGTAAAGATGCTTTATGATATGAAGCATCATACTGTAAAAACTGAGCGATGTAATTTATTGTTAATCCCATGCTTGAAATATGGTCTCAGGTGCGGCCGAAGCGATTCTCCACCCTATATGATCAACATAGTGTTCATCATGGTATACCGTGCCTTAACTGGTTAAGCTACCGAACCCAAGATAATTAAGCAAGAATTTGCCGTGACATCTTTGCAAAGGAATGAAAGCCACATTCCAGCGTGCACTAAATTTTGTTGTGAATCCGTTTTGATTTTATCATTCATATCGATGTTTTTATCATTCAATACCGTTTACCAATGAATGACTACTTCACATTCCATGAGAGTGCATTTTTGGCAGCAAAGGGTCATTAATTATCGTATTACGTTTAATGATTCAATGAGGTGCAAGACACTCACTGATAAACGACGCTCTACCCCATGGTTTTTCTGGACGCTACATATTCATAATTTAAAATCAAGCAGCACTTGGTACGAATTGTTTGCTTATTTTGCATTTCTCTATTTATAGATTCTCCCTCAGAAAAGCCTCCACATTACTGGAAACCGATTTATCACATCAAAATGGCATTCTCAGCGTCGTCCACATTCTCCCAGCGGATTCTCGTTGCCCTGCTGGTATGCACTCTGCTCATAGATCTAAGTTCTTTCACCGAAGCCCGACCACAGGATGAGCCGACGTCCATGGCTGATGCTATTCGACTCCTGCAGGAACTGGAGACCAAACACGCCCAACACGCTAGACCAAGGTAAGAAGCACACCTCGATCTTCTACTCGCTTTAGCAATCTATTTTACTAAATTGCTCATAGAAGTTTTGCTGAGCTTATAACTATAAATTGAAATTATTAATAACAATCACGCATTTGTATGCCTCGCTGCGGGGAAATTCCCAACTGCAGCAGGCCAAGAAAAATGATGCTGCAAAAATGTTGTTCCAACTTGCCCGAAGACCTACTGCGATGAGCAAACGGCCTACTGCTTCGAAGATTCTTGACTCCATTCATGGCAGGTACGAGAGCAAAACAAGTCCACGTGCGTTGACAGATTTATTTTTGCACGTTTTTCTGGTTTCACTTCCCCAATGCCCTTAACGATATTTACCCTAACCTGCAGCGCGCCCGTGTGAAATGCGTTGACCTTTTACCGTCCGATGTGCTCATGAACCAGAACACACTGTGGAATAACCATTGACACTGTGTATCATAATAATATGTGGTGATATCATCACAGAATAAAATGAAGACCATTTATAGAGGCGGAGGAATGCGATTGGTAGCAGCTGATTTAATTTATGGCCATGTTCATTTGTGTAATTCGTAAAACATGATCTGCAATCATTACTGGACCGCCCATGGTTGCATAGCTGATTGTAATGGGAATTTTATTTGAAAAAATATGTTCGATATTATCAACTTTATCGGTTATCACAATAACAAACTTTGTCTGTGGGACCTCAAATTTCAATCTTATGATATTGATTTAATTTATTTCAGTTATTTTTCTCCCCCTTTGAACACATTATTAGAAATTATTCTGGGAAAATGCTTTTTTTTCAGAAAATCTAAGCGTCCAAAATCTAAATATTTTTTAGAGAGTTTTCATAGAAGAAGCAATTGTTTCTAATATCGGAATCTACAAGCAAGCAAGTTTACCCTTCGTTTTTTTTTGACGTCCATTTTAATACCACCATATGCTTGTTTGCATTTTTTTCTGATTTTTGAAAGAAGTTGCACTAAATTTGGTTGCAACTCGAGATCACACGATCAAAAATACCGATGAAAAAAATCGCGAAAACAGACATGAGTTTACTTTTCTTACTCCGTACAAGACTGGGATGGACCTCGCATCTTTATAACTTTACAGTTGATGGTGTAAACTGAATATAACAATCATGGTGATCACTACAATAGCAACCACATATTCAATTTTGTTCACCCCAGCAGGCCTGGGTTCAATCCCAGTCGGCGCCGCCGGGATGTTCTGAGGCATAACATCTCTGATCACGCCTTCCTTCGGATGGGAAGTAAAGCCGTTGGTCCCCGGTTCATGAGTTGATGGGTCGATAGTTAGGGTCCAGGTGTGGGAGCTGCCTTCCTGGCACGTCGGTAGCATTGGTGCTCAGCACGGAAAACAAGATCGACGGAAAAAAACAAACCGAAGTGTACCTGGTATGGCCTATTTATTTATTTATTTATTATTCTCTTCATCGGACTTTTGATGTCTATATGAAGATTGATGGGGAAAAGCCTATTTGGCCAATATATGTGCAAATAGGCGTAAAAACCTCATATTTTTTTGAAATACAAGGAACAAAATAAAAAAGACACAAAAACAAAATAATAATAAAAAGAAACACACCGCATAATAATTCTAATATGGTCTTCAGCATAAAAAACAAAGCCATTAAAAGAAAATTAGTACACACAAAAAGACTTGTAATGCGTGATTCAATAAGTTTAAAAAGTTTATTAATGGTTGCTTTACAGTACTTTTATTAAAACTTTAAAGTTACAGCATTAGATGATTAAATTTCTTATGTTCGAACGAAATCTCGAACCTTCCTCTTGATGGAGCCCATCAGCGCCCGTACAGTGGAAACGGACACGGAATCAGCGCATTTCTTCAATTTTGCCCGCATTTGCTGGATGTCCTTGACTGCCCCGCCGCTTGCCAAATCATGGCCTTCTTCGTGAACTTGTCGGCAAACACGAACTTGAATCTTCCCGGCACATCCCCACGTCCAGTCGCGATATAAAACTTTTGACCGGGAGGCTGCTTAAAATCGAGTTTGACGTATGTTTCGCCATCGATCAAAGTGCAGCCCTTGAGTTTCGTCAAAACACAATCGTACAAGAATTCTGCTTCTTGTGCCGGTTCGGATGTTTAATGGCTTTGTACGACTTGTATCCTTCCCTGGCAAGGATGTTCCGCACCGTTTGAAAGTTGGCGTTGTACCTTCTGGCCACATCCCGAATCAAAAGATCGGGGTTGGCTTTAACGCACTTAAACACCTTGCTGCGCAGCTGACGATCCCTGGTTCCAGTTTTTCGTAGCTCCACTGATTCCTTTCCACACTCAGGGTTTCGTTGTAGGTTTTGAGCCCTCGACAAACTGTTGTTTTCGGCATCTTCAGCGCTTTAGCCAGCTTGGAACCGGACCACTCCGGATTTTCCGGAATTTCTTCTTTCGAGTTTCATTTGACGTTATTTCTGAACGCGATCGGCTACTATGATCAAACTTGCACCAGTTGTTCTCTATAGAAGTGTAAACAAACCACTGTCAAAGATTTTCGATTCCTAACACTAGAGGCGTGCTAGTGACGCGCGAGGGCGTACCAATTTACTTTTAGTCAGCCTTTAATCGCATGCTATGGCATGGAGTTTGGATCAGTAAAGTCGAGGCCGTCATCACATAGTTGATCGGGAACAAAAAAAAATTGAAACAGGAAATCGCGTATCGTCACCTATCCAGCAGACTACGTTGAATCCGGTGATGAAAGATTTTCGCTGTGCAGTTGAAGTCGAAAAAACCATAGAATTTATTGAAACGTGCAGACATGAACCGTAATGGATCATGTAATTCGTAATTAGTTGCTCGGTGTCCGAGATGCAGGAAACTCCTCGATCGTAGCACTCGTTCAGGTGCATATATTTCGAATTCAACCAAACGGGAAAGTCGATTTCGCTTATCAGCACTTTTGCTGCAAAAACTGCCTGGTTAATCTTACGCCTACGTTCAAGATTTTCAGTAGCCAGGAGTTGGCAACGATCTTCGTAGGGTGGAAGGTTCGTTGAATCATTCCAATGAAGGTGGCGAAGAGCGTAACGAACGAATTTACTCTGAACAGACTCAATCCTCGCTTTCCAAACTGTTTCATACGGACACCATACTAGTACACCTAATTCCAACTCGAAACCCATCAGAGATCTTAAAGATGAATCCGAGTTGCCTGTTAGCTTTGGCTATGATATCCGTGTAATGTAAAGGGGATACAGGGTGTTGCCTGTTAGCTTTGGCTATGATATCCGTGTAATGTAGCTTAAATGTCAAAGCAGAATCAAGTGTAATTCCCGGATCACGAACGTTGTCCACACGCTGCAGAGGTTGGTTATCGATCGTATTATTTAATGCAATAGGTTTTGGCTTGCATTTTGAACACTTAACGTGAGGAAATTCCTCGAGCACCACTCTTCGAAACCATCGATCAGGTGCTGCAACCGCAAACAATCAGTGAAGCATCGCACAACTACGTACATCTTGACATCGTCTGCATAGAATGACCGGCAGCCAGTTGGAAGTATCAAACCGATTGCGTTAATGAATATCGACAATAACGGCGGTCCCAAATTGCTACCATGAGGATCGCCTGAGTTGTTTGAAAAATATTCCGATTTATCAGGACCGATTTTCACACAAAGCTATCGATTGGTAAGATACGATTCAAACCAACGAGTGAGTCCTTGAGATAGACCGAGCTTCTAGAGTTTGGCAAGTAGAATGGCATGATCAACCCGGTCGGATGCAGCCTTGAGATCCGAGTATACGACGTCAACCTGTGCTCCTGCCTCCATATTTCGTAGGCAAAGGGAAATTAAAGGAGTGAGGTTTGTTGAGAAATGTAGTTTCTACAGCTGGCAAATAAAGCGTCGTTGATGATTATCTTGAATACTTTCGAAGCTGGCACAAAGTGAAGTAATTCCTCGGTAATTCTCCACATTTCGTATGTCTCCTTTCTTGAAAATCGGGAACATGAACGAAGATTTGTAACGAGAAGGGAATACACCTAGCTGTAATGAAATATTTAACAGCTTTGAAAGCGGAGAAGAAAACTCCCGTCAGGCCCAACAGCGTTCGAGAATTTCAGCTTCTGGATGGCAGAGTCGACGAGGCCCAATGTGACCGTAAAAAAATCAAAGCTGAACGTGTCACTGAGAGTGTATTACGAAACTGGCTGTATTTGCGAAGAGCCTTAGATCTCACACGCTTCAAGTGTTGTAATCAAGCATTAGAACATGCAGGTTTTGGAGCAGGTCTCCTCAGAGGCACATAAGTAGTTAACGGCTTCATCAATGGACGAACACGAGTCAAGCGACTGCCAATCTACCTGGGCCAGTGAATGATTCTATACAACGAAGTCAGTTTTACGAAAGTCATTTGTAATGCTTTCTTTTTCCAAATCAGAGCCTCCTAAAACACTGCCATTGCACCGGTAAGTGTCTAATGTCAAACCGAGGGGTGATTGATTGAAATTATGGCGAGCGTAAAAATCTGGACAGCATGCAAACAATATTCGTGCTCTTGGATTTTTGATTCACATCGCAAATGTTCAATTTTGAATTCATAGATATTAGAATTAGATAATGGACAAACAAAAATGAATTTTCATACTGCGCATCCGAAGGAATATACCGGACCATGCTGTTCAACGCTCTTGGAACCGATCGTCCAATTCGGTTGGAGCAGAGAAAGCATTTATCACAGACAAACAGACATAACACATTGAATAATTCTCACTGTAAAACATCGTCGCTAAAGCATTACCGCCATCTGTTGAGTACACTGCGGTGGGTACTGGGTAGTACCATAGAGGTAACTCTAAGACTAGAAGGTCCCGAAATAACTTGCTCAACTTTTTGGCTCAGCTTTGGTATTCTCTTCGAAGACCAATAACCCCTCATTTTATCTGTGAAACTTTCATAGCGAATCAAAACAAACATTGCGTAGTACTAGAATTTCGACTAGAATGGGGTTCGTTAATCGTTTGCTTGGGACCAATAGGCTAGTCAAGTAGTGAGCCAATTTAAAATCGTTAGTTTCGTATTGATTGTTGGTAGTACGCTGAACAGATGGCGGTAGTGTGTAAACGTCAAACTCAAGGGAAATGACTATGCGCGCCACAGGTGGCGGTACTACCAATTACGATACTTTTAAATTGATCGTTATATGCTTGTTCGAAGAACAAATTGCGAGTGTTATGTCTGTTTGTCTGTGATAAATGCTTTCTCTGTTAATTCTATAGAACTTTTATGCAATATTGATTGCGAGTTAGCGAGCAAGCTTGTTTTCCGCGAGAAGCCCGAGAGATGTCGTTACTGAGGTCCTATGTTTTGAAATACTATTTTTTCAAGAAAAACTTTTTCAAAGAGTTACGTCTGTTTGTCTGTGGTTAAAAGGTTGGGCGAAGAAGCTGTAAATGGAGGTGCAGTACTGCCGAATGTGCAAGTGAATTAAAGCTTAGATGATCAAAATTCAAGGTCAAATACCCCACAATATGGGTATTTTTGGAATTGTGGTGACATGTAGAAACCGAAAATTGATGTCTGACGCCATTTTGAAATCCAATATGGTGGCTTCCAGTTAGATAAAATCTGGTAAATACTGTCAAATACCTCACAATATGGGTATTTATGGTATCGTGGTAACATGTAGGAATCGGAAATCGATGTATGACTCCAATTTGAAATCCAAGATGGCGGCTTCCGGTTAGAGAAAAAAATGTGGAATCGCGATGACGTGTAAGGACCGGAAATCGATGTCTGACGCCAGTTTGAAATCCAAGATGGCAGCTGTTTATTAGAGAAAATCTGAAAAATACTGTCAAATACTGCACAATATGGGTATTTTTGGAGTCGCGATGACGCTAAGGGACCGGAAATCGACGTATGACGCCATTCTGAAATCCAAAATGGTGGCTTCCGGTTCGATAAAATCTGAGAAATAATGTCAAATACCCAACAATATGGGTATTTTTGAAATCGGGATAACATGCAGGGTCCGGAAATCGATGTCTGCCGCCATTTAGAATTCCAAGATAGCAGCTTCTAGTTATATAACTGGGAAAGGCTGTCAAATACCCCACAATATGGGTATTTTTGGAACCGGGATGACGTGTAGCGACCGGAAATCGAAGGAAGTCTACTGGGACGTTTGTTATACAGCATCTACACTTTCAAAATTCCTTTCCTCGAAGACGGTTGTGTGTCCCTAAACGTCATCCTAATTCTAAAAATACACATATTGTGGGGTATTGACAGTATTTCCCTATTTTTCTCTAACGGGAAGTCGCCATCTTGGATTTCAAAATGCCGTCAGACATTGATTTCCGGTCCCTACACGTCATCCCGATTCTAAAAATACCCATATTGTGGGGTATTGACAGTATTTCCCTGTTTTTCTCTAACCGAAAGTCGCCATCTTGGATTTTGAAATGGTGGCGGTCATATATTGTTGGTATGGGTAACATGTTTTTAGATTATTTTAAAATAGTTACATATAATGTCGTGTAAACGAAACACGCGTTGGTTTACAAGCTTTGGTGGAAACACAACCAGCATCATAATCAAACACGGTGTGTAGCAGTCGAGAACACGTGTTGTGCTTTGGTGAACCGCACCGGTACGCAACCGGTCTTTCGCCAATTCTGTATATTAGGCGATTTAGACTATTTTAAATCCATTTTGGCAGGATTTGAGCCATTTCAGGACGATTTTGGAGTTATAAGGTCGTTAAAAGGGCATTTTGGATTTAATTAATTTTAAGAAATTGATTGGCTTTCGATATTGGCTCTTTTAAGGCGTTTTACGACGTCAGTTAATTTGACGATTCAAGAGCTATACAAAAAAGCCAAAATAATTTATAAAGCTATATTGGATAATTAGGATTTATTTATCATCGAATGTCATGAACGGTGTTAAAGTGACTATAATGAAAAAAAAATCGACCGAAAGTATTGATCAAAACTGCACAGTAGTACTTTTCCTCTATACTGTCAGACATGAGGCCCAAGTTCGAAAGAATTTGAGTTCCGTTCCACAATTTTATGTGACACGCTTATGGAAATTTAATTAGCATGATTCCAGCAATCAAAATCGCTTTACGACCGAGCACGATCTGCCATTCCCAGCGTCTGTTCTTTTCACTCGATTCAGCTACATCCACGTTCATCCGGTAGGACCAGAACAATTTCCAAAGATATGCAATATAACGACAAAACTAAAACTCATGGACAAGTACACAGCAGCAGAGCCAACAACATATTACGTCAACATCAAAGACAATCAGAAGCAGTGCCAGAAATCGAGTTTCTTCTCGCGTCACAGTCAGTGAGTGGGTGGATGCGATGATGGGGGGAAAAGAATCCTTGCACATCACGTTTGTCGCTTGTCAATGGGGCGATGATACGATGATATGGACAAGGTCGGATTCCAAACGTAGTTTGTTTTTTGGTGTAAGTTTTTCACATCCGAAAATAAACACCAGTAAGCGCATAGGGAGTTTGTAAATTTTTCTACTAAGCTGTCAAGTTTGACTAGAAAAGTTTATTCATAGAAAATTTTCAAATCGATTGCTTAAAGCTATAAGAAGTATATGGATTAGAGGAGGTCATTTACCGGCTGGGGAGGATGACTGTCAGCATGGCACCTACCAAAGAACAACTACCGAATAAAATAAACGTCAAATTACAGTTCTCTTCCATAATCAAGCCTATCAAATTAGTCCCCACTACACTACCTAGTCGACCCATCATCAAACTCAGACAGACTGCCATGGCTCGGACATTGGTCGGAAACAACGATACAGCTGCACCATTAACTATAGAAATCGATATTCCTGCAAACACCATAAAGGAACAGAACAGTACTAGAACAAAGTACGCTTCGTTAATGAACACTAGCAGAATTCCAGATGCACCAGAGATCATCAGATTGATGAACAGAATATATCCTCGGCTGATCTTTCGCAGCATAGCCGAAATTGCTAGATACAGAAAAGTGTAGATAGATCCGAGTGCAATCACGTAAACGAATACATCACTAGTAACGTGATCGTTACACTGGCCCTCAACGTTCAGTAGTAGGTCTTCATCTGGTATATCCACTCCTCGCAATACTTCGCATATTGTCGCAGAATCATTTCCATTTGCTTTCGTCACTCGATTTACTATTTCCGGATACCATAGACCCATTCCAGCAGAACTGTAGAAGACATCGAAATATATAATCATATGAATTCCATAAACTCTGACAAAGAATACTTACACAACGAACATACCAAATTGTAGTGCACAGCAAACCGTAAAATAGAGAAGATTTGGTCGTTTGAACAGAGGCACGGTCTGATTCCACATGCTACCCAAGATGGACAGGAATCCTTTCTGCTGGATGGAATCAACTGTTTCATTATTCTCCGGAGTGAATCTCTTTATTGGAAAATCACCCTCCGACGATCCGGGATTATTATCCAAATAGATTTTCCGAAGAATACCTAGCGCTTTGTCGTCTCGTCCGCGGGAAATGTAGAATTTTGGACTTTCCGGTAAGAACATCAACCAAACGGCTCCAATCGCTCCCGGCAGGGAGTAGACAATGAAAAGCAGACGCCATGGACGAAACTCGACTAGATCGAAAATGTCGATACGCCAATCGAAAGACAAAATGATCCACCCGAAAGCTGAAATGAATTAAGACACAATCAATGGAATGAATGTTTATTTTATTAATGTAAACTGTACTCACTTCCGGTATATATGTAAGATAATCCAACGGCAACGCTAGCAAACGAAATAATCACAGTGCGTTTCTCAGTCTTTGTGAATTCACCTAGATACGCATAAATTGTAGCAGATGGGGCGGAGATGCTGTAAATGTAAAATACAACTAGATGAACAATGGGAACTATCAGACAATACTGTATCTTTTTTAAAAATTACGTAAGGTACAGTCAAAACTCCTAATGTGCGATTAAATGGTACTAAGGTCTGTATCCACATTAATCTGGACACCTTCAAATCACTGTAACTTTTGAAATATTGCATGTAGGAGTGAAAAATTTCGCTAAGGTATAGCTGGGAGTCATTGATGAAAAAGACTATGATTGGTGTTTACATTCCATGTTTAGTGTTCAAGATGGCGACGAATGAAAAACACGGATTTTCTACGGACGTAATTGTTCTTCTTTATTTTAGTGAATTTTAGCCATTGGCCAAGGGGTAAGTCACTCAGCACATTGTGCCGAAATTAGATTCGTCATAGCTTGGGCACATCCATCAGCACATCTTCGGTATACCTTCGGCACAATCTATTAGGCTTTGGATTGTTGTAAATAAAATGGGAGCACTGCTGGACAACTGTCATTGAAGTTGTTCTGAACATTACGTGCTGTTTGACTGTATGTTCAGGCACATCTTCTAATTGAATATACCAGAGGAACTCAGACCAGCAGTTCACTTATAGACCTAAATACGAAATGTAGGTTCTAGAGTGGACTCAAGAGAAATAGGCAGTTAATTAGACCCCATTAATACCTTTAATTCAAATAATGCTGCAACTCACACAAAAAAAAAATACATAAGTCTATTCATCATCCTCTAAAGTCAGTCTCCAACAATGTTCCTCACTAGGTTCCAACTCTTTCCGGCCGCTGATAGACCGTTGCTTTTCACATTACGAAAAGAACACAAAACACCAAAATTTCGCACACCCGCCACTTCCTGCGTCATCCTCAATCCGATTTATCCTTACGATTTCAAATCAAAACATTCCAGGTGTCAGAAATACTGGGATGCCGGGATGGATATTTCACAAACAATCGCAGCTTGCTCTATGACCGGCAAGATCGGCACACTTGCGGCACATTGACAAAAAATATGACCCAAGACTGGTGTGCGGAGTGGCCTACCCTTTGCCATTGGCTAGTTCTTCACTTTGCAGGAAAAATATCAGAGGTATAAAGCCTGCCTTGAAAAAAAAACACAGTTGGAATTTACAGAGTTTTGGTTGGATGACATTTAAAATTTGGGAAACCCAGAAGAACAAACTAGACCATCTACATTGAGTTAACTTATTGACTAATCCGAACAAGGCAGAGCTCCACCGTGGAGGGCGGTGCCCCCGTCCGGTAGAGATGCCCCGACGGTCAAAAGGAAGGAATCAAACATTGAAAACAAATCAGCGTCCTTCAGGAAGGAGATCAGGGAAGCCAGGACCGAAGGTTCTTCGCCCAGTATGTCGCCGATATTCCCCATAAGGCCGTAGTGTTTACGCACGAGCTCGTACTTTGGACACGCGCAGAACATGTGCTCGACGGTGGCTGGAATATTACAAACGACGCAGGCCTTGCAAAAAACTTCTCCGCCGAAATCGTGTGAGAGCCGGGTGTGACCTGTGCGAAGCCTGGAGATCACTCGTTGCTCCTACAGGTTCCCAAGGACGCGTGCTCTCCTTGATTTTCCTTAGAAGCGGTCCTTGGTTTGCCAACCATTCTTTTGCCAACTAGCCTGCATGGATGTTTCGACCCATCGCTTTATGTCCGGAAGGGTGACTTCATCGGTGTACCTGGCACCAGATGGTCCCGCCCCGGCCAGTCTGTCAGGGTCGGAGTTGTCAATGATGACACAATGCTCTGGAACCCAAGCGAATACTGTGTTGGGGGGGGGGGGATGGTGTGATTGCTGCTTCTAAAGACGCCGCTGCCTCTGCAGAAAAAAAAACCGAGCATTGTGGCGGTAGGCTCAAGCTCGTTGGCGAGATCTTTTCCGCAATGCCTATCCCAACTCCGTTGTGCGATTTGGACTCGTCCGTATAACGATGCGTATGCCTGGGGTACCAAGTTTAGCATCTCCGCGACGGAATGTCTGAGCGCTGCCGAGTTGTCTCCTGCCTTAAACTGGTCCTTAATTCGGCTTTCGATGTTTAATGGTCTCGATTGCCAACTTTTTCCTCCCAGCCAGTGGCTCTTGGCTATTGGGGGGAGGTTGGTATTGGCTGCTGTACGGAGGATTCTGTTCCCCTCCTCGAGGAGATAGATCCATTCGTTACCCGATGTTTTTGCCAAGTAGGCAGCCGCTTTGATGGCGACTGCGGTGTCGATTCGACCTTCGAACCGTTTTTTTTTTTTTTTTTTAGGGGGATCGGTTGAGCCCCGATCCTGACAGAGGCGCCACCGACTCGGTGACCGAAAGCGCAGACGTAACAGCGGATACTCTTTGCAGCTGAGAATTGGAACCCGGCTGAGGCCGCCCTTTTGGCAACTGCCGATACAGCTGCTTGTGCTTGGATGCGGGTCCTTGCGGTGGTGCGGCCGGTGGCCACAATTAGCACGTCATCCGCGTAGACGAGAATGTGGATGTTAAGTGGCAAACGAGTAAAGATCCGGTTCATCACTATTAGGAAAATCGTCACCGCGATAACCGAGCCTTGCGGCACCCCTGTTTCCTCCGAGAAAGAAGAAGGCTTGGTGTTCCCCACGGCGACTTTAAACGATCGTCTTGCTAGAAAGCCTCGGATAAAGGAAAGGATATTTCCGTTGACTCCCCAGGTGATGAGCTCTTGAAGAACTAACGCCGTCCATGTTCTGTTGAAGGCCTTGGAGATATCCAAGGATACGATCTCCGCGTGGTGACCCTTTTCCTGCGTGTCCTTCAACAGTTCTCCCAGCGAAGCGAAATACGTGGAGGTTCCCTTTCCTGCCCGGTAGGCGTGGTGCCGGTGGTCAAAGTATCCATTTTCCTCCAATGCAGCGCGAAGTCGACGATTGACCATGCGTTCCAGCACCTTGCTTGCGTAGCTGGTTATCGCAATCGGACTGAATTTATCGGTACCTCGAGTGGTGGCGTTGGCCTTTGGGATCGGGATCACCAAACTTTCTCGCCAAGCGGCCGGAAAGTCACCAGTACGCCACACCTCGTTGTAAATGTCTAATAATCCGCCGATAGGAAGATTTTTTAGAAAGGGAGTTGCCGGTGCTGTATCGCAATGCAAACTGCAGCTTCTCGAAGGAAAACTCTTGGTTAATTGGAGAGTTGATGCTGTCTTGTGGAATTTGGAAATTTACACTATCGGCAGTAGATGGTCTTGTTTTGTGGAGAAAGGTGGGCTCATATTGGATGATATCGGAAAGCTAGGCAAAAAAGGTGCCGACCTCCTCAGCTACGGCATCACGGTCGGTGATGTTTGTTCCACTAGTCTCGATTGAGAGCGGTGTGGTGCGCCTTTTCCCGCTAAAGGAATTAACTTTTCCCCACAGGCAGGCATGGCAAATCATTTACATTCATTTCGTGCATTCATTTACATTCATTTGCCTCTAACTTTTTTCATCAACAGAATTCCATGAAATGATGTATGAAGCTTTTGTAGGTTTTGTCATTAACTACAACCTTTTAGAATAACTCAAATCTGTATATATTATGCATGATGAACCGGGGCGAACAGAACTTACCTATGTTTTTCAGTGAATGTAAAGTGAATAAAGTGAAAAAGTTAGAAGTAAATGAATGTAAATGAATGCACGAAATGAATGTAAATGATTTGCCATGCCTGCCCACAGGTCCCCGGACGACTGGGAAGCATTTATGCTCTCCAGGAAGTCAGTCCAACTATTTCGTTTGGCATCCCGGATGTTCTGCTTGCATTGGTTGTGCCGTTCTCTATATACAATTGGTCTTATCCATCTAAATAACTTTACTAAAGATAGCAACATCCTGTCTAGTCAATACACTAAAAACGAAACTAACTCACTGACACTAAGTCACTTTTATTGATTTGTATAGAAAAAAATCTAAAAGTGTAGGTCACTCAGCGCACGAGTAACCTACGCCTTCAGAGAAAAAGTGACTCACTCTCTGAATAAGATTCTGTTTCAGTGATTGTAGTCTGCTTAAGCAAGCCTTTTCAATCAAATGACACTAGCGCTGCATGGTGAGTGACTTCTGAACTGAGAGACCAATCATGCGATAGGTCTTGTTCATCCAAATAACTTCACTGAATACAGAAACCTGCTTTCTGGTCATGCTGTCATGTTAAAACATGGAATTTGATTGCAGTCGTTAAACATTGATAAACAACTATCATCTTTATACCACACAAATCTTACATTCAATCTGGATAAAATGGTGTAATTTAAATTCATTTCATTCATAAATGACCATGTAAAAAGTGGTCAAAACCTGACACTATTTCGTCACGCCATTTTTTTTATATGCACTCCAGTATAGTCCACAAAGACGTAGTCCTACGTAAAAAAAATTATAAGCTTGTGGCTAAGACAAATGAATTTGTAGATGAGATATGATTAAAAACGCAATTCCGGAGAACTTTGAGATTTGGGCGTAATTGCTTTTGTAAACAAACATGTCAATCACTGATTTCTCGCGAATAAAAGAACAATCTCGTTAACAAACTATACCAAATAATAGAGGAACCATGCATCTACCTGTTTGTGTTGTTAGTTTTTGAGATTAAGCTTTAGTTCGCGAGAAATCGTCAAAAGAAGTGTTTGTTAGTGAAGTTCTCCGGAATTGTTGGTTAATTATTTGGTCCAGATAAGAGACATATATCTTGTATTCCAATGAGAATTTTTCAATGCGAGGTTTTCATTGGCCTCGATGACAGATGAAGGATCTTTATAAGATGACATCGTCAGGTTTAGGCAATACTATCACAAATCAAAATAAAAATCGTTGAAAATTTCACTTTTTTGTGTTTGAACATGTAGATTAGAATGATACAAATTTTGACATTTTTGCTCCACAGTGCTCAAACGGTTCCATATCGGGTCCTGATTAATCTCCCAAAATTTGAACTCATTTGAAAAGAAACTGACTTGGCACAAACCATTTGAAGATTATATGGAAATTACTATGGGAAATCCAAACTTTTTTCCATATGGCACCGTTAAAAAATTCAAAAGCTATACTTGTGGAAAATTTTCTCAGTTTCAACTTGGCAGAATATAGTTATTGAGCCAAACGTCAAATAAAATAGTTATTAATTGTTTAAGAGATTGATAATCTTATGGCATGATCAAGCAGCTGTTTTGTAAGCAACACTGTATCTTGCAGTGTTACATAGTAGCCATGATTTTTGTGCTCTATTCCAAGCGCCAGAAACACCAATGTTGCCTGCTGAACAGTTGATTGAGCATAATCTTAAGGCATTAGTGGCTTGAATTATTGATAACTTTTGATGCTTACATTATATTGAAAAGTGGTTAAGGACAAAGTTGTAGCTGAGAAAATTTTCTACGAGTTCAGTTATCATTTTTTAAAGCAGAGCAATATGGTAAATTGTTAGATGGATATGAACAAAACATTTGGTTTTCCTATAGTAATTTCCATATAAACTTCAAATGGTTTGTGCCAAGTCAGTTGCTTATCGAATGAGTTCAAATTTTGGGAGACTAATCAGGACCCGATTTGGAACCGTTTGAGCATTGTGGACCAAAAATGTCAAAATTTGCATCAGTCTAATGTAGATGTGATGCCTTGATTGCAATGTTTTGTCTATGCACCGCTAGAAAAATGAACAGCCTTGGAAAATAAGGTATAAGGTATGTTGCATGAACCTGATGACATATAATTTTAGCTTTTCAGCACAAAGTACAACACGAAAAATAAAATTAAAAACCTACTGACCATGCAACTCACTCAATGTGAAACACCACATGTTTCATGCAACTTAATACCTATGTCCAATAGACTAATACTTGAAGAATATTTTGGAGAACATCAGGTCTCAAGAAGTGCCTTCTAGTCAAAAATATTATTCTGTTGTATTTTGTACAACACGCGAGTGCTCGTGCTATAAAAGTTGGCGCGAGTACCGAATGGTTAAGAATAAATTTCAACCCAAATGCCGAAACTTTTCACTTACCAGTTAATTCAAATAGGCAGCTATTAACGAACGAATAAAATAAAATATAAATGTAGCTTTCCGCAATTGAATAATAAATACATGTATTTTATTTATCACCTTGACCATCACCAGTTCAAATATCTACCATAAAGTTAAAACAAATTACTCTTTCTTCAAACCACACAAGACAAACGATTCTTACCACATTCCGACGAGCAACCGGAGCACTGCGATGGTGGTGAAATTTACCGCCATGCTCGACACCAGCGAGCAAAGGGTCGTGATTACGAGCGAAACCACGATCACATTCTTGCGCCCTTTGGTGTCTGCCACATAACCCCACAAGTGCGACGTCAAGATGATACCTGTTGGGTTTGTTGAGCGAGGTGATGATATCAGAATGGGGAAAAACAGAAAAGAATGTATTATAGCTGTTTTCTACACACCCTGCTATTCATTCCGCTTCCCGGAAAGATGAGCTTTAAATGCACTGCTAGAAGATTGCACCGCACCCCATAGATAAAACACAATGCAAACAGTGAAAGCAAATGCCCCGTAAAATCAACGCAATGGCAAAGAGTAGCCGCACAGCTGTTGAGAAAATTCAGTTCATCTTCTTGACAGTATTCAAACAATTCCAACAGCTGATCCAGTCATAATACGGAAGCGGTCATAAATGTCGACAATGGGCAGCACGTTTTAAAACTGAGGGACAGTTTTACATCCGGGGTCATGTTGCTTGTGAATCTAGTGTCAATTTAAGATTTCATCAACCCGAAAACGTGACAGCATTCGCCCTTGCTTGCGATAAGATTATGCCTCTAGGAAACAAAGTTTAAAATTAACGCTCGTGTTTACTATTTCACTGAGCAGTAGTGGGTGTTTGCCCTTCTGTCAGATGGCAATTAAAGCTCCCCAAGTGAGGCGAATGATAAATAACAGGGAAGAATTTACCTACTCAGTTGTTCAGTACTTAAGACTCACCTGCGAAGCTCACACCGGTGAGCACGCCTTTATCGGTTGCCGAGAGATTCAGGTCACAATGAGCAGCTGGGATGAGGATCGATATGCCCATGGTTTCATTGATAACGGCCAACATAATCAAGGAGGATACCAGGAAAACGTGCCAACCCGTGCGACCGAACCCTGAAATTGGACAGTAGATCGAAAGGAAAGGTCAGCAAAAACTTCTAAAATACCCGTCGCTGCTTTTGTTGATTTGTCGTAACTGCTAGCTGACATTCACAAACAAACAGCACCAATTGGTATTTATCCCACCTGATGGTGGTGTTAGTGTGTGTGGATGAATTGAAGTCGTTGTTTATATATTATGGCTAAGGAAATTTTTTACATTTTTTAAATAATGGTGATTGACTATCCAAAAAAAATGACTCAAGGGAATAAACATGTTATCAAAGCACAGCGAAACACTGAACCATCAATATAGTGAATTATTTTCGTAGTAGGCTACTCAAGCACATACCACAATAACACGAATATATGTATACAGCCATTCCATACTTACTTACTTAAGTGTCCTGAGCGCCATCCCTGGCGCAAAGGGCCAACGTGAAAGATCTCCATCCTGGGCGATTGTTTGCTTTCGCCTTGACCTGGGCCCAGGTCAAATTCCGGTCGACTTGCTTAATCTCCTTGTTTAGGCTTCGCCGCCATGAGCCCCTGGGTCTGCCTCTGCTGCGATGTCCGGCTGGATTCCAATCCAGCGCTTGTTTGCAGATTTCATTTCCGCTCTTCCGTAGAGTGTGGCCAACCCACCTCCACTTACGTTCCCGAATTTCTGTCGATATCGGCTTCTGGTGACACCGTCGATGGAGCTCGGCATTCGAAATCCAGTTGTGAGGCCACCAAGCACGAATTATATACCGCAGGCATCGGTTGATGAACACCTGCAGCTTCTGTGTGATCTCCGCTGATACGCACCATGTTTCGCTAGCGTACAGCAGTACAGATTTCACGTTAGAGTTGAAAATTCGGATCTTCGTGCGGAGGCTAATCTGATTTGACTTCCAGATGTTTCGTAAACTCGCAAAAGCAGCCCTTGCCTTCTTGATCCGTGCACCTATGTCACTCTTGGTTCCGCCGTCCGACGCTATCTGGCTGCCAAGATATTGGAAACTTTCAACCTTCTCCACTTCCTGACCAGCTACCGTAAAATTGGATGGATTTCCCGTGTTGATATCCAACGATTTAGTCTTGCTGACGTTGATGTTGAGACCTGCCGCTGAGGAGCGTTCGGCGAGATCGTCGAGCTTACTCTGCATGTCAGAACGCCGTTGTGATACTAAAGCAACGTCATCCGCCAAATCTAGGTCGTTTAGATGCTCCATTGTAATAGGCTGCCAGAGCAACCCACGGTTCGGCACACGGTCGATCGCACCAACCATTATCTCGTCGATTACGATGAGGAACAGTAGCGGTGATAGAATACATCCTTGCCTCACTCCAGCGACTACCCGAATAGGGTCAGATAGGGCTCCGTTGTGCAGCACCCTGCACGTGAAAGCCTCATACTGAGCTTCGATGAGGTTGACGATTTTATCCGGAACTCCCTTGCGCCTTAGGGCGCCCCACAGGTTTTCGTGGTTGAGTCGGTCGAAAGCTTTTTCGTAGTCAATGAAAACCAAGTAAAGGGACTCTTGGAATTCGTTGACCTGCTCCAAGATTATGCGGAGCGAGACAATATGGTCCACACAGGATCTTCCAGCACGGAATCCCGCCTGCTGCCGTCGGAGAGTCGCGTCGATCTTCTCCTGTATCCGGTTGAGGATAACTTTGCATAGAACTTTGAGAACACAACACAGTAACATAATGCCACGCCAGTTATCGCATACAGTTGGGTCCCCCTTCTTTGGGACCTTCACTAAGACGCCCTGCATCCAGTCAGCCGGAAAAGTCGCGGTGTCCCAGATATTGCAGAATAGTTGATGCAACATTTGTGCAGATAGCATGGGGTCAGCTTTGAGCATCTCTGCTGATATGCGATCGACCCCGGGAGCCTTGTTGGATTTCATGGTTCGGATAGCAGCTTCGATCTCCGGTAGGGATGGCGCCTCAGAATTGACGCGAGTGATGCGTCGCACTCTTGGCGGTTCATACCGAGATGTTGATGGCTGGTTGACCGACGAAACTTGTAGAAGCTGTTCGAAGTGTTCAAACCAGCGTTTCAGCTGATCAGTGGGGTCGGTGAGCAACTGACCAGTCGCGTCCTTCACTGGCATCCTAGGATTCATCCTTGCTCCACTCAGGCGTCGTGAGATATCGTAGAGGAGACGGATATCGCCTGTTGCTGCGGCTTTCTCACCTTCATCGGCTAGGGAGTCCACCCACGCTCGCTTATCCCGCCTACACGAGCGCTTCACTTCCTTCTCGAGAGCCGAATACAGTTGGCGGGCCTGGTTCTTCGCTCCTCTGGTTCTCGCCCGCTCTATCGCGGCTTTTGCATTTCTCCGCTCCTCTATCTTCCTCCAGGTGTCATCCGTGATCCACTCCTTTCTCTGAGCGCGCAGCTCGCCCAGGTTGTTTTCACTCGTTTCAGTAAAGGCATCCTTGATCGCCGTCCATTGCTCTTCTACGCTGCCACCATCAGGAATATCCGCAGCTCTGGTCTCCAGTTCCTCGACGAATGACCTTTTTACTGCTGGATCTTCCAATCGGCGTGTGTTGAATCGCCGTCCGAGCCGCTCCTCCCGCCGCTGGACCCGCGCGATACGAAGGCGGATCTCTCCAACGAGGAGATGGTGGTCAGACGCGATGTCGGCACTGCGTTTGTTCCGAACGTCAAGAAGGCTCCTTCTCCATTTTCGGCTGATGCAGATGTGGTCGATTTGATTTTCGGTATGTCCATCACGGGAAACCCACGTGACTTTGTGCACTGGTCGATGGGGGAAGAGCGAACCCCCGATCACCATGTCGTTATTGCCACAAAACTCTGCCAACAGCTCACCGTTTTCGCTCATTTCGCCAAGACCATGGCGCCCCATGACACGCTCATAATCCGTGTTGTCGGAGCCGATCTTCGCATTGAAGTCGCCGATGTAGATCTTGATGTCACCTCTCGGAATTTTATCCACGACTGCATTCAGTTGACTGTAAAAGTTCTCTTTGTCCTGTAACTCGGCAGCATCGGTTGGCGCATAACATTGGATTATGGTTAGGTTACGAACCCGCGTTCTGAATCTGGCAACGATTATCCTCTCATTGATAGGTTCCCACTTGATGAGCGCCGCATTTGCTTGGGCGCTAAGCAGGAAACCAACTCCACGGTGGCGGGGAGCGTTTTCACCTCGAATACCAGAATAGAGTAGTACCTGTCCCGACGGCAGCTTGTGTTCTCCAAAGTTTGGCCAACGGACTTCGCTTAGTCCCAGGATTTCGAGCTTCATGCGTCGAGCCTCGCTGGCGAGTTGTGCCAGCTTCCCCTGTTGGGCTAGCGTTAGTACATTCCATGTTCCAATTCTTGTCCGTTGTTTTGCGCTAAAAGTCGTTGCCGTAATATCAGTCCGTGATCTTTCTCTATTGGTTTCTGTAACAGTTGTAAAGTTTCGGGGACAGTAGGTAGTTAGCCTAAGGTCTCCTATCCGCCGTGATGGGGCTGCCATCTTGGGTATAGCTTTCGGGGATAAGCATTTCTTGTTTCAGCCGCTGGATGCCAGGCAGACGCTGTTTGAGCCGCACCTCCATGGTGGACAGACGCTCAGTTATTGCATAGGTTCTTAGAATTTCGTAAAAATTGATAGTTTTCTTCATTATCGCAAAATATTAGACCCGTATTTTCTTATTTTGTCATTAGGGTGACAATTTTCGTGTTAAGGTGGTCAAAAAATCAATTTTTTAATGACTTATTCATAGCTTTTGAAGCACTAAACCGATTTCAAATATCAAAATATCAAATGGAAGGTAATTAAAAATTAAAATAATATTTAAACAAAAAATTGTATTGAAAAACAATGATTGTATTTGTTTTCTTTTGTGGTCTTCATGGTTTCTAGACAGAGGGCGCAATATTTTTTTTTATTTTCCCTTGAAAATTTCGGCTTTTTTACTCAATATATAAAAATTCAGAGATTAGATTTTTTTTCGTTGTTGAGATATACACTCCCGATCATAAGTTTAAGGACACCCCCAAAAAAACACGACAAATTTGTTATGTTCATATCTCTGTCATGTTACGTCCAATTTTCGTTCTCTTTAGATCATTTGAAAGGTATTGAATGGAACTTTCCTCGTAGGCAAATTGTTTCATATAATTTTCAAATTTTGTGTGCTAAAAGTTCACCCAAAGTTACAATATTTTTCAAAGTTTACTCTGAAGAATCGTGACTGATTTTCTCAGAATTGGGTTGGATAAATTTTGAAATAAAAGTAGTAGTAGAACCTAGGGGTAGGTCACTCCGCACACCTATCTTGGGTCATCTTTTTTGTCAATGTGCCGCAACTGTGACTATTGTGCCGGTCATAGAGCAAGCTGCGATTGTTTGTAAAATACCCATCCCGGCATCCCGGTATTTCTGACACCTTGAATGTTTTGGTTTGAAATCACATGGATAAATCGGATTGAGGATGACGCGGGAAGTGGCGGGTGTGCAAAATTTGTGTGTTTTGTGATCCATAGGGTAATAAAAGTCCAGTGTTTTAGTGTTTAATAATGCCCTCAAAGGAAGATCAGAAACCTAGCATTTCGTCCGGAAATAGTTGGAACCGGTGGGGAGCATTGTTGGAGATCGACTATAGAGGGTGACGAATAGACTTCTTTAGTTTGTTTTGTGTGAGTTGCAGAGTTATTTGAATTAAGGGTACTAATGAGGTCTGATAAACTGCCTCTTCCTCTTGAGTTCGCTCTAGAACCTACATTTCGTATTTAGATCTATAAGTGAACTGCTGGTCTGACTTCCTCTGGTATATTCAATCGGAAGATGTCCCTGAACATACAGTCAAACAGCACGTAATGTTCTGAACAAACTTCAATGACAGTTGTCCAGCAGTGCTCCCATTTTATTTACTACAATCTAATGCCTACGAGATTGTGCCGAAGGTATGCCGAAAATGTGCCGATGGATGTGCCCAAACTGTGTAGAATATAATTTCGGCACAATGAGCTGAGTGACTTACCCCTTGAGTAGAACACT